CTGAAACCTTTAAAGGGGAACTAAACCTTCCTTTCCTTTTCAGTCAAGGAAGCTGCCATCTTAGTCTCTGTTTGATCTGCAACTGTCATGTGATCAGTTTTTACACCAACCATTTGATGATTTGACAGGTTAAAAGCACAAACAAATGTGACAGTTAGAATTCCTGGCATGCTGGTAATGTAACTGTGTTTTGATACCATAAAGTCAATGGGTTTAGTTCTGCTTTAACTACATTAAAATGGAATTCCAGTCTTTGCTTAAACCTGCTTCCACTTCCCTTTTTTTTCCCTTTAACAGATTTATTGCAGTATATTATGCATATTGTGCAATATACAGTAATACAGGTATAAAGGAACTCGCATACACATAAGGAGACATTAATGTAACTCCAAAATGACATTTATAAATAATGGCTCAATAAGGTACTACATTAAATCCTTATATGAGCTTCCAACTTCTTGTCACAGTAATGTGACCAGGGACTATCACCTTTAGTACAAAAACACTTTTTGAAGTTCTTTGCAGAGGTATGCTATCTTGCTTTGGTCCAGTGGATATAAGACTGGGCAGTTCAAAGTTATAATTGAAGAAAAATCAACACTTAAAATTCAGTAGTAGATGGGATATGGTGTATTAAAGATTACAACAGGGTATTACATTGTTCAGTAATTTGGATGGTTGGGATAATGCTGCTCTCTTGTCCTCATCTAGACTATCCTTTTTTCTCAAACACGCATAACAGTTGCAGTTTTATTCTGACATGTATTCAGTAGATATGTTTGTGTAATAAATATGTGAAATTGTGAATTAACTGAGAAAATCACACTCATTTCCTTATCAGAATTATAGATACTATGTGTATGTGTCTTTAATGTACAATGTTTTTATATGTCTTGAAAATAAATGAAATGACATTTCTCTGCATTGCACAATGTAATAAAAAGCATGATATCTTACAAATACTGTAATTGTTTTGTTTTTTTTGGGCCCCAGGTGCTTTAACTGTAATGTGCTAGTACCCGCAGCATATTAGCACATTTATGGTAGACTTTCCTGGCAAGCACTGCTTTTCCCCCAGTCCTCCTCTTGGGTTGCAACTCTTTGGCTGCTTGTTGGCTAGACCATGATGAGGTCACATCCACATATGTGCAAGGGAGTCACATCCTCATGGCAAAGAGTGTTGCCACAAATATATGCTGAGCTGCATATGTACGGAGAAGGGTCAGAAACTGTTGGGAAAACAAAAATGTTACAGATGTTACTAGAACAGGAGGTAAGGTTAGATTCTCCAATGGGGAAACCTGTTTCAGTGACAATTGTCCAAGAGGGGAATTTCCCTCACTTTGTAGAGATGTCCAAACAGGAAATAAAGGAAAATATCAGCAATAGCACCCAGAAAAGAAAAACAGACTGACAGGGGTTTTGATCCTTATTTAATCCAAAACCTAAAAGAAAAATGTCTTGGCTACACATTTGCTTTAAAAGCCTTCTTCATAGTGGGTTCATAGGATAGCTGTTGTACGCAAGTGCAAAATACTTGAGATGCCTTGGTTTCTGGGGTATCTCCTGTCATCCTGTTGTGAGACTTTTCTCCTACCCTCAAGATGATCTTAAACACTTAGCTTTGATTTTAGCTTACACGGGATCAAGTATACTAATCGCACTGATGTTTCTCCTATCCATGTTCTCAATTTTCTCTTTCCTTCTTATAAAAGAGTAGTAGTATATAAATCATTTTCACAATGAATCACAGATGGGCTTCAACGTTTTTTCTTTTTTTTTTTCTTTTAATCTATTAATTTTTTTAGAGCTACAAAACCACTTTATTTCAAAACTACATAACAAAAACTTTCTCACAAAATTTAATCCAATACCCTTTTCCCACCCCATTCCACTATCCCACTCCACCTCCCCCCCACCCCCACCCCGTTTGTATCCTCCCCATACTCACCCTGTTTTCATCCACTTCTTGTTTCTCTCATATTTATCCATCTATCTTTGCCACACTCCTCTCTCTGTCGTATCTTTTATCTCTCCCTATTTCTTTATACTCCAATCAGTTCAAGGTATCTTTTTGATATTTTAAATTCATACCATCTTTCCCGTTTTTTTTTTAATTTCTCCATTTTATCTTCTTCGAAATGGTATAGTTCCTCCATCCTGTATATACTGTATACTCCACTATTTTTATCCAATCTTTTATTTTTGGGGTCTCCTGGACCTGACAAAATATGGGGATCAGTCCTTTTGCCTTTTGTTCCAAGCTCCTCTTCCCACTTTTCCAAAAATGCTGGAGGCTCCAATCCAGATATTGTGAAAATCTTATAAATACTCGAAGTAACATGTTTTCATGTTAGATTTGAACTTAACGTTTGCTCAAATGGATACACATCTTTCTCCATCCTGAATGGTTTCAGGAGCGCAGCAACAAAATGACCCAATTGATAATAACGCCATTCATCTAGTGTAAAAAATAACTCCTTTTTTTTTTTTAGTTCTTGAAAAGAACATAATTCCCCTTTTTCTATAATGTCTTTCAAACGTGCATTTCTATATGTTATCCATTTTCCTGCAATATTATCTTTCCCTGGTGGGAAAAATTCTGAACCCACCAACGGAATTAACAATGAGTTATGTTCCCACACCCTTTGTGAATTAAATCCCACACCCTCATTACATTACGTGTCAATGTGCTCGTATTTTCATCTACTCTACTACGGAACTGCTGTGGAATCCAAATAATCCTATCTAATTGTGACTTAGTGTATTTTCCATTTTTACTCAATTTTTCCCTTTTACATTATACTTCCAATCTACTATTGGTGAAATTAACACAGCATGATAGTTCCTCTTAAAATCCGGAAAGTTTAACCCCCAAATTATTTTGTCCTTGCATCTTTTTGTAAGGTCCGTTTCTCTATCTTTGGAACACTTATATTTAATATCTCTGCCTTTGAGGGGTTAATCTTTAAATTCGATAACTCTCCATAGTATTTTAATATTTGCATCAAATTAGGTAATGTTCGTCTTGGATTTGCGATATAAAATAACATGTCGTCTGCATATGCTGCGACCTTATGTTCTACATCCCCTAGCCAAAGTCCTTTTACATCTATACTATTTTGTATCATTGCTAATAGTGGCTCCAGAGTTCTAACAAACAGGGGAGACGATGGACATCCCGGCCTTGTTCCGTCAAACATTTTAAAGAACTGTGACAGTGAACCATTAACCTTTACCACAGCTGATGGATTACTATATAACTTTCTTATTCACTGTAGCATTTTGGGTCCAATCCCTAGTTCCTCTAAAGTATCTATCATAAATCCCCAGTCTACCTTGTTGAAGGCTTTTTCAGCGTCAATTGACAGAATTATCACAGAGGATTTTTCTCTTACTTTTTTTGCATAAGGATCAATTATCTTAACCACTTCATGTCCGGACACTTTCACCCCCTTCCTGTCCAGGCCAATTTTCAGCTTTCAGCGCTCTCACATTGTGAATGACAATTACTCAGGCATACGACACTGTATCCAAATGAAATTATTATAATTTTTTTTCAAACAAATAGAGCTTTTATTTTGTGGTATTTAATTACCACTGGGGTTTTTATTTTTTGCTAGAAAAATGAAAAAAAGACTGAAAATTTTGAAAAAAAAACCCCATCTTTTTCTTAGTTTTTGTTACAAAATTTTGCAAATAAATGTACTTTCTTCATAAATTGAGGCCAAAATCCATTGTGCTACATTTTGTTTGTAGAAATAACCCAAATCAGTGTGTATTATTTAATCTTTGTGAAAGTTAGAGTCTATAGACCACGGTATATATATTTGAAAATGTATCAATCCTGATGTACTGACTACCTATATAAATTCTTGGGGCCCTAAAATGCCAGGACAGTGCAAACACCCCCCAAATGACTCCTTTTTGGAAAGTAGACAGTCTGAGGTATTTAATGAGAGGAATGTAGATTTTTTTGAAGTTGTCATTTTTTGCCAATTTTTGAGGAAAATTATGAAAGTAAACTATTTTTTTTTCCACAAAGTTGTCATTTAACAAGTTCTTTATCTCACACGGCATAGGCATACTTGCAATTACACCCCAAAACACATTCTGCTACTCTTCCAGAGTATGGCGATACCACATGTGTGAAATCTTTTTACAGCTTAGCCACATAAAAGGGCCCCACATCCAATAAGAACCTTTAGGCGTTCTAGGGGCAAAAATTACACATCTAATTTCTTGACTGTCTATCACAGTTTTGGAGGTCCTGGAGCACCAGGACAATGAATTACCCACAAAATGACCCCATTTTGGAAAGAAAACACCCCAAGGTATGTTTTAAGAGGCATGGGGAGTCCTCTGAAGACTTCATTTTTTGCCACAAGTTTTTGGAAAATGTAAAAAGAAAACGAAAATGTATTTTTTTTCTACACAAAGTTGTCAATCTATGAGATATTTCTAATAAACTGCATAGGCATACTTAAAATTGCACCCCAAAACACATTCTCTAACTCTTCCTGAATGTGGCGATACCACATGTGTGAGACTTTTTCACAGTCTGGCCTCATAGAGGGGCTCCACATCCAATAAGCACCTTTTGGAGTTATAGGGGCAAAAATTACACATCTAATTTCTTGACTACCTATTGCCGTTTTGGAGGTCATGGAGCATCAGGACAATGGAATTACCCACAAAATGACCCCATTTTGGAAAGCAAACACCCCAAGGTATGTTTTAAGAGGCATAGGGAGTCCTCTGAAGACTTCATTTTTTGCCACATTTATTTTTTTTTATGCAAAGTTGTCAATCTATGAGATATTTCTATTACACAGCATAGGCACACTTAAAATTACACCTCAAAATGCATTCTTAACTCCTGCTGAATATGGCGATACCAAATGTGTGAGACTTTTTCACAGTCTGGCCACATAGAGGGGCTCCACATCCAATAAGCACCTGTTAGCGTTCTAAGGGCAAAAATTAAACATCTAATTTCTTGGGCCACTTGTGTGGTGATCAGGAACACTGCTGGGCCACTGCAGTGATCAGGGCCACTGCTGGGCCACTTGTGTGGTGATCAGGGACACTGCTGGGCTGCTGTGGCAATCAGGGACACTGTGGTGATCAGGGACACTGCTGGACCACTTGTGTGGCGATCAGGGACACTGCTTGGCCACTGCGTCAATCAGGGACACTGCTGGACCACTTGTGTGGCGATCAGGGACACTGCTTGGCCACTGCGTCAATCAGGGACATTGCTGGGCCACTTGTGTGGCAATCATTGACACTTCGGTAATCAGGGACACTGCTGGACCACTTGTGCGGCGATCAGGGACACTGTGGCGATCAGGGACACTGCCGGGCCACTTGAATGGTGATGAGGGACACTGCTTGGCCACTGCAGCGATCAGGGACACTGCTGGGCCACTTGTGTGGCGATCAGTGACACTGCTGGGCCACTTCGGTGATCAGGGACACTGCTGGGCCACTTGTGTGGCTATCAGGAACACTGCTGGGCTACTGCGGTGATCAGGGCCACTGCTGGGCCACTTGTGTGGCGATCAGGGCCACTGCGGCGATCAGGGACACTACTGGACCACTTGTGCGGCGATCAGGGACACTGCGGTGATCAGGGACACTACTGGACCACTTGTGCGGCGATCAGGGACACTGCTTGGCCACTGCGTCAATCAGGGACATTGCTGGGCCACTTGTGTGGCAATCAGGGACACTTCGGTAATCAGGGACACTGCTGGACCACTTGTGCGGTGATCAGGGACACTGTGGCGATCAGGGACACTGCCGGGCCACTTGTATGGCGATGAAGGACACTGCTTGGCCACTGCAGCAATCAGGGACACTGCTGGGCCACTTCGGTGATCAGGGACACTGCTGGGCCACTTGTGTGGCGATCAGGGTCACTGCTGGGCCACTTCGGTAATCAGGGACACTGCTGGGCCACTTCGGTGATCAGGGACACTGCTGGGCCACTTGTGTGGCGATCAGGGTCACTGCTGGGCCACTTCGGTAATCAGGGACACTGCTGGGCCACTTGTGTGGCGATCAGGGACACTGCAGCGATCAGGGACACTTCTGGGCCACTTGTGTGGGGATCAGGGACACTGCTTGGCCACTGCGGCAATCAGGAACACTGCTGAGCCATTTGTGTGGCAATCAAGGACACTGCTGGGCCATTTGTGTGGCAATCAGGGACACTGCGGTGATCAGGGACACTGCTGTACCACTTGTGCGGCGATCAGGGACACTGCTGGGCCACTGCGGCGATCAGGGATACTGCTGGGCCACATGTGTAGCAATCAGGAACATCGCTGGGCCACTGCAGTGATCAGGGACACTGCTGAGCCACTGCAGTGATCAGGGACACTGCTGGGCCACTGCAGTGATCAGGGACACTGCTGGACCACTTGTGTGGCAATCAGGGACACTACTGGGCCACTTGTGTGCTGATCAGAGACACTGCTTGGCCACTGCGGCAATCAGGGACACTGCTGGGCCACTTGTGTGGTGATCAGGGCCACTGCGGCGATCAGGGACACTGCTGGACCACTTGTGTGGCGATCAGGGACACTGCGGCGATCAGGGACACTGCTGGACCACTTGTGCGGCGATCAGGGACACTGCGGTGATCAGGGACACTGCTGGACCACTTGTGCGCGATCAGGGACACTGCTGGACCACTTGTGTGGCGATCAGGGACACTGCGGCGATCAGGGACACTGATGGACCACTTGTGCGGCGATCAGGGACACTGCGGTGATCAGGGACACTGCTGGACCACTTGTGCGGCGATTAGAGACACTGCTGGGCCACTTGTGCGGCAATCAGGGACACTGCAGCGATCAGGGACACTTCTGGGCCACTTGTGTGGGGATCAGGGCACTGCTTGGCCACTGCGGCAATCAGGGACACTGCTGGGCCACTTGTGTGGCAATCAGGGACACTGCTGGGCCACTTGTGTGGCAATCAGGGACACTGCAGTGATCAGGGACACTGTTGGACCACTTGTGCGGCGATCAGGGACACTGCTGGGCCACTGCAGCCATCAGGGATACTGCTGGGCCACATGTGTAGCAATCAGGAACACCGCTGGGCCACTGCGGTGATCACGGACACTGCTGGGCCACTGCAGTGTTCAGGGACACTGCTGGGCCACTTGTGTGCTGATCAGGGACACTGCTGGGCCACTGCAGTGATCAGGGACACTGCTGGACCACTTGTGTGGCAATCAGGGACACTACTGAGCCACTTGTGTGCTGATCAGAGACATTGCTTGGCCACTGCGGCGATCAGGAACACTGCTGGACCACTTGTGTGGCGATCAGAAACACTGCTTGGCCACTGCAGTGATCAGGGACACTGCTGAGCCACTTGTGTGGCGATCAGGAACACTGCTGGGCCACTGCGGTGATCAGGGACACTGCTGGGCCACTGCAGTGATCAGGGACACTGCTGGGGCACTGCGGTGATCAGGGCCACTGCTGAACCACTGCGGCAATCAGGGACACTGCTGGACAACTTGTGTGGTGATCAGGGCCACTGCTGGGCCACTTGTGGGGCAATCAGGGCCACTGCTGGGCCACTGCGGTGATCAGGGACACTGCTGGGCCACTGCAGTGATCAGGGACACTGCTGGGCCACTGCAGTGATCAGGGACACTGCTGGGGCACTGCGGTGATCAGGGACACTGCTGGGCCACTGCGGCAATCAGGGACACTGCTGGACAACTTGTGTGGTGATCAGGGCCACTGCTGGGCCACTTGTGGGGCAATCAGGGCCACTGCTGGGCCACTTGTGGGGCAATCAGGGCCACTGCTTGGCCACTGCGGTGATCAGGGACACTGCTGGGCCACTTGTGGGGCGATCAGGGCCACTTTTGGGGCAATCAGGGCCACTTTTGGGGCAATCAGGGCCACTTGTGGGCAATCAGGGCCACTTGTGGGGTGATCAGGTGTCACTGAGGTGGAGGGCAGTTTGTTTTCTTGCTATCTGCTCCTTCTCTCACAGACAGAACTCCGTGAGAGGAGGAGGCGGCTTTTGTTTACATAGATTGTGTCCTTGTTGGACACAGCTGATCACATGGTATAGGACCGATTTCATTGGTCCTGTACCATGTCACGTGATCCTCCATGTCCGTTGGACTCGGCGATCATCGGGCTCACGGGTGTGCGCTCTAGGAGCCGCTCACAAGCCTCAGATGCAGGACGCTGTTCAGAAATGGCAACTCGCTCCTGGAGGTGTCCCTTCCCGCCGTTCATAAACAGCGGCCAGACAGGAAGTGGTAATCCATTTTCTTTTCCTGGAATGAATGCCACTTCATCTAAGTGTATCCAATCCAGAATCAATTCTTTCATCCTCATTGCTAAAACCTTTGCGTATAGTTTTGTGTCTATATTCAATAATGATATAGGTCTGTAATCAGCACATTGGAACCCATCTTTCCCCTCCTTTGGTATAACTGTAATATGTGCCTGCAACATTTTCCTTCCACATTTCCATCCCTTCTCCTACCGCATTCCCGATACTCCTACGGCATTCATGTACGTACACATTTTAGGGACGGGTTGTTCTTCAAACTTCCTATAGTATCTTAAAGTATACCTATCGGGTCAGGAACTCCTTCCTGCTGCTGTACTTTTTAATTCTATATTAATTTCTTCCTGTGTGTTATTGATTTTTGTAAGGCTGTTAATCTTGCTTCTTCTAATCTTGGCCATCCCGCCTCTTTTAAATATGTCTGCCTTCTTTTCTTTTTTTTCTCCCATTGTTTTTTCTGGTTCCTAGGTTTTATTCCTTATAATTTATTATAATATTTTTTAAATACATCAGCGATATTAGTGGTTGAATGTACCAGTTCCCCTGTATCATCCTTAATTTTTTCTATAAAGTTTCTCAATTTCTTTTCCCTTAGCCTTCTCATTAAATATTTTTCTGGTCTATTCCCCCACTGATATCTTTCTCTTGCCACCCTATTAAAGATTTTCCTTGACTCTTGTTCCATTAAATCCTTTAGTTCTTCTCTTTCTTGAGTTATCTTCTGTTGTATCTCTATTTTTATCTTTTTTATGTGATTGTTCCAAATCATATAATTCCTCCATTAATAGCTTTATTTTCTTCCCCCTTTTTTTTTTTTTCAGAACCTATAGAAATCAGGATTCCTTTAATATATGCCTTGTGTGCTTCCCAAACTGTGGCAACAGATACCCCTTCACCTTTCGGTAAACAAAAAAATATTGATCAATTTCCTTCCTTAATCTTATTTCAACCGTTTGATCCTGCAAGAGCGTCTTGTTCAATCTCCACATGGTTATCTTTATTCCGCTCTCCGCCCCACCTTAGTCTCATTGTGACGGGTGCATGATTCAATAATGACCTTACTTCTATATTGGATTTCGCCAGTGACTCCAAAAGTCTATGTTCAATCATTATATAGTCCAATCGTGAGTAAACTCCATGTGCAGAAAAGAAGGTATAATTCCTTTCTCTAGGATGTTTAACTCTCCAGGCATCCATTAATTGACACTGATGTAACCTCTTTTTTAACAGACTTTAGGTTTCTACCTCCCTCTCTCTGCGCCTGCGATGATGCATCCATCAACGGATCCATGCAGAGATTAAAGTCCCCCCACAATCCGCATCCCCCTCTTGAAATCTATAAGCTTTCTTAGTAAACCCTCCAGGTATGCTATTGCATTTTCATTAGGACAATAGATATTTGCCAGTATACATTCTATCCCCTGAAGTTTCCCTCTCAGGAATAGAAACCTACCCTCTGGGTCTACCAATCTTTCTTCCATAATAAATCTTACATTTATTGCAAACCCAATTGCTAATCCTTTTGCCTTTTTATTGGCGAGTCAGCATAATACCATGTTGAGTAGTATTTGGAGTATACATTCGTATCTTGGGATATATGCATCTCTTGTGAAAGCACAACCTCAATAGAGCGTTGATGTATCTCTCTGAGAATCTTATACATTTTGGTTGAAGTATTCAGTCCTTTCACATTATATGTTATGAAGTTACACTTATTTATTCCTCTTACTCTTTCAAAACACTATCTATATTCCTGCTAAGAGAGGAGCAGGTATAAATGGTCTGAAACAAGAAGATATCCCTATATCTATCTTTATCTCCCACTCCTCCCCTTCCTAAGCCCCCTCCCTCTAAATCAACCCAACTCCCTCCAACTCCCCCCCTAACTCTTTTTGATACCCCTTGGCCTGTTTCCAGACCTGGAATAGGTTGTGGTTTAAGCCCACCTTCGATTCCTCTGCCAGGGTGAGACTCCGGACACAAACACCTATTCAGATCCCTACCTCCCATCTTAGGATCTCAACTTCGAGAGCATGCTAAAACTCGTACAAAAACTCTGCCACTATTCTTAGGAAGAGAGAAG